ATATTAGCAGAGATTTTAGATACTCTGGAATCAGATCTTCCTGTAGAACCACGTTCAGTGGAAACTAATTGCCAGAGTCTATATACAAATCTGTGTGACTGAAGTTTTTAAAGAAAATTCTAAAGAAAAAATTAATGAAACCATTTTATGGTCTTATGTGGTGCCAAATATAGGTTTCACTTTTTAATTAGATAGTCCTAATTCACTGTTTTTTTTTTTAAAGCTACAGTTGAAAGAAATGAAAGGACCCCTCTCCCAGAAAAGAAAAAAAAAAGTGTGTGTGTGTGTGTGTGTGAGAGAGAGAGAGAGAGAGAGACAGAGAGAAAGTTATTAGAGGAGGTCACCAAAATGGAAATACAATGTTCATCTTTCCTCATGAAAACACAGACTTAAAAATTGTACTCAGAAACTATGCCCTCGGAGCCTGCATGCCTGCCCTGCCTCAAATTTTGTTGCTTTCTCTATGTTCTCTCTGACTCTCCCTTCTCTCCCTTTACCCAATGACAAAAGAGTCTTTTTTTTTTTTTTTTTTGGTTCTGAACTATGTCCTTCCTTGTGTTCTTTCACCTTAAGAAAACAAAATAAGACTAGATAGAGTTGGTTTTATCAACTAATAAGAAAATCTCTGTCAAAACTCCAATGATATTAACTAAGTCAGGGAGCCCTATGGCACAAAAGAGCAGAGGTGACAGTCACAGGAAACAAGGACTCAATGATGTCACATGAACTTTTGAGGAGTGCATGTCCTGCAGATGCAGGGACACAAGAAAAGTGACTCATTTCCTATTATCCATAGGGCGGAACCCCAAAGCACCAAATTTCATGAATGAATATACTCCACAGACCAAAAAAAAAATCAGGCATTTATGGATATAAAGCACTAGAATAGGAATACAAAAATTGTAATCCAATTTGAACAAACTGAATTAGCTTTAAAGTTTAAAACACCATTGGATTCAATTTCCGACTGAATTATTTGTTTGTCAAGTAGCCCTGGGAAAATAATTTAACCTCTATGAGTGTCTGTTTCTATATTTTTTAAATGAAGATAATATTGTCTGCATGGTAGGATGGGAAATGTAATGCATTCGTGTACATAAAGTTAACGACATAGCGATAGAGATTGTCCTTACAAAGCCTATGTATGGGCTTGAGGTGGAAGAGGGAAGCAATCAAATGTAATTAAGAGAAGAATCCAGAAGAGTATCTGTCATTTCCTAATCTGCCCAGAGTATTTGGGGTTGTTTTGGTCCTGTAATCTCTTCTCTTGGAAGTGTACAGCGCCAGAATACAGGTAGTTTTAAAAGTGTTTTAATATAACAAGTAAAACCAAGAGTAAAATTTGAGATATGGAATGAGAGTAAGAAGAATCACTTGGTAATAGTGGAAAGAACCATTGGTTTTCCTGAGAGACTGAGACAACTAAAGGAAGTAGGTCTAGAAACCTGATCTGTGTAGGAGGAAAAACATAAAACATTTTCAAACGAGAAAACATTGGGAGCTAGAGGAGCTGCCTGGGAGATGTATAAGCATCCCAAAATACTTGGTGGATACTAGTACAGATGGGTACTAGGTAAGTACTAGGACAGATATAGAGATCCTAAGTGTGAGAAAAGATGAGGCAAGTTTGTTTGGATTTACATTTGTTAATTGAAATTCTTCAGTCAAGAAGAGCTATCCTTTGCTTCCCATGTATTTATTTATTTAAGACACAGATATAGATGATATAGATGCTCTGTACAAACTCATGGATAATTGTCTATTCTGAATTATAATCTGATACTATCATTACTTATTTTGCTGCCCAGAGTATCCCAGCTTTGGCCATTGGGAACTCCTTCAGGTTTGCTTTTGTATCCATTCAAGCTGACCATATAATTTTTTAAGCACTTCCTTACTTTCTGGAACCACTTTCAACATGTTCCTAATTCATCTTATATTTTCTCAGACATAGCTATGGAAGCACTCATTTCTCCAACAATCCCTGATTCCTTTTATAAAGGAATATGTAGAAAGCAATTAATCTAGGTTTTAGATACCAAGACTGGAATGCTAGGTGAGTTCATTGTTCTCTGGGCATCATTGCATCAAGTCCTCTCAGCAGCTAGAGCTACAAACTGTATGTATGTATGTGAACACACACATAGATGCACATCTTTATGTACCAGAAATTTATAAGAAGATTTTCTTTTGAGGACAGGAACTGCTGAACTGATCTACATATATAAAAAAATCAGAGTCACACTTGGTAGTAATAAAAACCATTAGCTAAAAATATAAAGGCAATATTCTAATAGTCTATAGGCAGATACATCCATACATCAGCTCCTTAGAAACTTAAATTTATAAATATTATTTATACAGCTTGATGTGAAACTAGTATGAATAAGAACTCTAGCAAATTGAGGAAGCCATTCGGGGTTGCTTTCAAAAAACTATTTGGCCTATAGTTAACAGTCTCTTGTGGCACATGATAACTATTTGGGAAGGGGTCAGAAAGGTACTGTGAGAATTTCTGATGGAATAATTTGAGTCTTCATCATTATAGAGTCACTATCAGAATTTTCCTTCTGCTACCACTCCTCCCCTGAACCCTGGCCACCATCTGTCCTATCTCAAGTTTTAGGCTTGATTATTACGATACAACTTTGAAAATCCATGAATTCTGAAGAGGAACTGAAATGATTTGGGTTCCAGAATGCTCACTAAAAATAAAAGCAACTCTATCTTGGGTGCTAATCCACTATGTTGACTTTTGATTAACCCCTGTTCTAGAAATGCCTCTAGGATTTCTACTTTATACAGTGTTACCCTAAGTCCTTCCCTTAGGTCAAAACAACCTTGACCACAAATCCTGATTTTAGGCAAATTCACATAGCACTCTTGCCTCTCCCTGAGGGTTTGGATTCAATTGTCCTACATATTGATTCCCTATGTGATGTAAGCCTTGGGTCTTAGAGGTAATGGCACCAGGATCAACCATCTTGTCTCAAAGCCACCAAAGATAATGGCTTCTGTTCCATAGTCCCTATTTCTTTGGTCTCTCAGTTCTCTTTGCCTTTGAAGGTAGAATTGCATGGGACTGCTCACCATAGAACATGCCATGTCAGCAAATCTTTATGTATAATTTGAATAAACAGCAGTTCAGAATGACTTTGGAAATTTTTCCTCTGTCTTTGAAGTTCTCATGCATAGAAGAATGGAATAACAGTGTGGGTTATTGATATGAGGAATGGTTCAGGAAACATTTGGATTTACCAGTTACTACAATGTTCTTAACTAAGCCTGCCTCAAAGGACTTCATAATTGTGTTATCCATTTAACTAGCACTTAACATTAAAATATCATGAGCACTTTGTTTGTTTTCTAATAATATTTCTGCAGGTTATTATGTAATGCTAAATTTATATTAGAAGATTTCTCAAATAATTAGTGGTTAAAGTTGGATAATACAGATACCAATATTGTAGTATAAAATATCAAGTTTGAAAACTGAAATTATTATCATTATTAGAGCTGTTTATTAAATATAGAATTTAGAGAATTTTCTGGCTTAAGGGTTGTATTTTCATTAATGAAGCTGAGAAGCGAGTAGGAGCAAATTATTTTTGAAGCTTTCAAAATTGATCAGGACTAAATGAGAGTGCATTGTTCTCTAATATAAGGTCTTGCGCTCTGAAACAGTGCCAGATAGTATGGTACATGGACCAGCTACAGTCATGCTGGTAAATTTCACTAACTGCAGAATAAAAAGCTACTAGCAATTGGTAAGGGAAAACAATAATATTTCCACTAAACTAATCTGATAGGGAACTTGAGAAATAAGAAATGAAACCCAGATTAAATCTCCCCTAGAGTGCCTTAACTTTTCACTCAATTGTACTAAGAAAAAAAATATTTTTAGTTTTTCAACAAAAGAATGTTCAGGTTTCTAAGGTAAGTAATATACCCAGCGTATTTATTTCCATCTCCATGGACTTTTTCCTAGAACCCCTCCTAATTCATCCCCTTCCCCTAGCCTTAAATTCATAATATTTTGAATAACCCAGAGTATTTTTTTTCAAAGACCAAATAAAATTACTCCCTTCTCCTGACTAAAATCCCTCAAAGCTACCCTCTGTCCTTCTCTTCCCATTCCCTCAAGATAATGTCTAAACATCTTAGTATGGCATACAGCACTGTTCATGGTATGGCACCTCTCCAGGACAAATGCATATTACTATCTACAAAACTACTTGCTCTGAACATCTTAAACTTACCTGAATGAGATACTTTTTCTGCTTCCCCTAAAACTTCAATCATTCTCACCCCTTAGCATAGATCATCTGTCTTCAACATTTTCATCATTGGCTAACTTCTGTTAATCCTTCCTAAGTTTGAGTGATCCAGGAAGCTTTCTGTTCCCAACTAGCCTGTCTCCCAGTGGTGCCCCCAGCTGGTCTAGTAGCTATGTCCTGTGTAATCAAATAGTATAAATCACTAATTTCTCACATCTTTAATTATCACAGTGTGAGATTCTTTTGAGCAGGAAAAAAATTTATTATTACATCGTGAGTATTCAATACAGATCCTGAAAAATGACTGGCCATAGTTAAAATATGTTATTTTTTAATACTCCAGTATCCACGTAGTATCCTGGCTTTTACTGAAACCTCCATGAAAACCTCCTGGCTTTTACTGAAAACTCATGAAAACATGAGTCTTGGTAATAGTCAAAGATGATAGAAGTCATTTGGGACTAGAAATGCTCATTTTCTGACATCTGGAAATTAGAGGATAAGCATCAGATCTAGGATTGGTCAACTGAACATTCCTACTCAGGACTATAAATCCACATGGGAGAAAACAAAGCATATAAGACAAAGCTTATTCTCACAGTGGCATCTGTGATCTCAGGAGCTTATGGATACCATGATTGGCAATCATAGTTATAAGAAGACCATGCACAAGCTTGGGCACCTACCTGACTGTGCTCTGCGATGTCTTCCTGACCTGTTTTCTGTGTTCAGGACTTTGATTCAATGAACTGCATGGTTTTCTGCAAATAAATTCATTTTCTGCTTAGATTAGTCAGTAGTGGTCAAGACTTTGATGAAAAGAAAGAAATTCAAAATTCTAATGACTGGACAGTTAGACGGATGGACTGATACACAAATGACTAAATCAATGAATGAGTAAAAGCAACAAAGCGTCAAAGAAAGAATAAGCTCAATTTCCACTACTTTTACCATTCTTCCCTTCCTCTTTCCATTACTTGACTTCCCAATCTTTTCTGTAATAGCAAGTGATTTTTAAAACAAATAAACATTCTAATTTTCTAGAAACCTTTAGGGTTCTTAAATAATGTACAAAAATAATTTAGAACATATTGACTTAATAATTTTCTGCTAGCCTGTGAACTAGTTGAAGTAGAAGTTCTGTATCCTCTCCTTTGGGCTCATTTATTTTTTGAAATTAAGGAAGAAATTAGAAGAATCAAAAAAAAAACTAGCATCTTTCATTCATAAAAACTAGCTGAGCCTAGTACAATATTAAACTCACATTTCAATAAATAAATCTACTCAGGTCTTTCATGCCCACATGTCCGTTGCTCAGTCAGTCTTCACGACTCCTTCTTCTTCACTGTAGGAGGCCCAGGGAGTTCTGCCATGGCATGTCCTTTGTCACTCTGTGACTGGCAGGTACTGGGAGATGCATGGGGAGGATGCCAGGACACACAGGAATCTGGAATATGGACTTAGTTGCCTTTGAAGATGTGGCTGCAACCTTCACCCAACAGAAGTGGGCTTTGCTAGATCCTTCCCAGAATTTCTACAGAGATGTGATGCAGGAAATTGTCATAAATCTGGCTTCTATGGAAACAAATGGGAACATCAACATTGAAGATCAGTAAAGAATTCTTGGAAAAATTTAAAGCACATTATATCTCAAACTAGAGGCAAATCATATGACTATTAGTAATGTGTAAAGACACCATACAATGATAACCAATGTTGGAATGCCTTCATTTACTTGATTTATCTTACAAGTGTTCAAGAGATATGGTAGTCTTTGATTTTCACAGTTCATTTCAAATCCTTCAGGGAAGTCACACGAGAGAGAAATCCTATAAATGTAAACAACGTGGTAAAGCCTTCAGTGTTTCGAATTCCTTTCTCATACCTGAAAGAACTCATAGTGGAAAGAAACCCTATGAATGTAAGAAATGTGTGGAAAAGCATTCAGTTTTTCCTATACTCTTAAAAGACACCAAAGAATTCACTCTGGAGAAAATCCCAGAAAATGTAAGAAATGTGGTAAAGCCTTCAGATATTCCAGTTCCCCTTAAGACAATGAAAGAACTCATACTGGAATAAGACTGTATAAATGTGAGGAATGTGGTAAACCCTTTAGTCACTCCAGTAGCCTTCTTTACTGTGAAAAAACTTATGCTGGAGAGAAACCTCATGAATATAAGAAATTTAGTAAAATCTTCAGCTGTTCCAGTAACCTTCATTATCATGAAAGAACTCATACTGGAGAGAAACCATGTGAATATAAGAAAAGTGGGGAAGCATTTCATTGTCTTGCTAACTTGCAATAACATATAAAAGACACACTGGTGAAAACCTCTATGCATGTAAGAAATGTGGTAAAGCATTCACTTTTTTCAGTTTCCTTTGAGCATATGAAAATGATTGTAGAGAAAAGCCCCACGATTGTAAAATTGTGGAAAAGGCTTCAGTTGTTCTACTTTCTGTCAAATACATGAAAGATCACATATCGAAAAGAAATCCTATGAATGTAAGGAATGTGGAAAGCATTTAATTTTCACAGTTTCCTCCAAAGACATGAAAGGAATAAAACTGGAAAAAAAGCTTGTGAATGTAACAAATGTGGAAAAGCCATCTGGTTTTTCAGTTCTTTCTGAAATGTTGAAAGGACTCACACTGAAGGAAACCCTAATGAATGCACAAAATATGATATGGTCTTTAGTTATTCCAGTTACATCTGATGACATAAAATAACTTACTCTGCAGAAAAAAAAAATAATGCATGGGATGTGGACATGCATTTATTTCTCTCATATTCATTCAAAGGCTCATGAAAATGCACAATGGAGATGGACCTTACAAATATAAGAAAGCACACAAGATTAAAATCCCAGTAGTTTGGGAAATATAGAGAAGTTATGAATTTTGAAAATTACTTTAAAAGTCATTTGAAAACACTTGCTGGAAAGAAATCCTATAAACATAAGTAATGTGGAAATCCTAATTCAAATTAATTATTCAACAATGCACTGAAAAATCCATATGAAATTTTTTTTAGACTTTACCTTCTGGGATACATGTGCAGGTTTGTTATGTAGGTATATATGTGCCATGGTGGTTTGCTGCACCCATCCATCTGTCATCTACATTAGGTATTTCTCCTAATGCTATTCCTCCCCTTGCCCCCAACTCCCCAACAGGCCCCAGTGTGTGATGTTCCCCTCCCTGTGCCCATAGGTTCTCATTGTCCAACTCCCAATTATGAGTGAGAACATGCAGCATTGGATTTTCTGTTCCTGTGTTAGTTTGCTGAGAATGATGGGTTCAGCTTCATCCATGTCCCTGCAAAGGACACGAACTCATTCTTTTTTACAGCTACATAGTATTCCATGGTGTATAAGTGCCACATTATCCAGTCTCCCATTGATGGGCATTTGGGTTAATTCCGTGTCTTTGCTATTGTGAATAGTGCTGCAATAAACATATGTGTGCAAGTGTCTTTATAGTAGAATGATTTATAATCCTTTGGGTATATACCTAGTAATGGGATTGCTGGGTCAAATGGTATTTCTGGTTCTAGATCCCTGAGGAATCACCACACCGTATTCCACAATGGTTGAACTAATTTAAACTCCTACCAACAATGTAAAAGCATTCCTATATCCCCACGTCCTCTACAGCATCTGTGGTTTCCTGACTTTTTAATGATTGCCAACCTAACTGGCATGAGATGGTATCTCATTGTGGTTTTGATTTGCATTTCTCTAATGACTAGTGATGATGAGTTGTTTTTTTTTTTCATATGTTTGTTGGCCACATAAATGTCTTCTTTTGAAAAGTGTCTGTTCATATCCTTTGTCCACTTTTGATGGGGTTGTTGGGTTTTTTCCTTGTAAATTTGTTTAAGTTCCTTGTAGATTCTGGATATTAGCCTTTTGTCAGATGGATAAATTCCAAACATTTTTTCTCATTCTGTAGGTTTCCTGTTCACTCTGATGATAGTTTCTTTTGCTGTGCAGAAGCTCTTTAGCATAATTAGATCCCATTTGTCAATTTTGGTTTTTGTTGCAATTGCTTTTGGTTTCAGTTTTGAAGTCATGAAGTGTTTGCCCGTGCCTGTGTCCTGAATGGTACTGTCTAGGTTTTCCTCTAGGTTTTTTATCATTTTAGGTCTTACATTTAAATCTTTAATCCATCGAGTTAATTGTTGTATAAGGTGTAAGGAAGGAGTCCAGTTTTGGTTTTCTGCATATGGGTAGCCAGTTATCCCAATACCATTTATTAAATAGAAAATCCTTTCCTCGTTGCTTGTTTTTGTCAGGTGTGTCAAAGATCAGATGGTTGTAGATGTGTAGTGTTATTTCTGAGGCCTCTGTTCTGTTCCATTGGTCTATATATCTGTTTTGATACCAGTAGCCTTGCTGTTTTGGTTACTGTACCATGCTGTTTTGGTTACTGCAGCCGTGTACTATAGCTTGAGATCAGGTAGCATGACTGGCAAATGGGATAAAGAGTCAAGACCCATTGGTGTGCTGTATTCAGGAGACCCACCTCACGTGCAAAGATACACATAGGCTCAAAATAAAGGGATGGAGGAAGAGTTACTAAGAAAATGGAAAACAAAAAAAGCAGAGGTTGCAACCCTAGTCTCTGATAAAACAGACTTTAAACCAACAAAGATAAAAAACAAGACAAAGAAGGGCATTACATAACGGTAAATTCAGTATTCAAGTCAAATAAAATGTATGCTTAATTATATGCATCTCATATTAACTTACTAAATCACAAATTTTTGTTAGATTTTTTAATAATCGATGCGCAATTATCATTTCTTCTAAACCTGAGGTGAAGCCAGTCCATATTACTTTCTGTTGAGAAATACCCAGAGTGAGGGAAAAGCTACTGATTTTGTTCTTATTGGCTTGTGATACTATGCAGCTAAACGATGACTCTGCAACACCACGCCCCGGACTCTCCTAGCTCTAGCATATAGAAAGTGTTTCCACTCAGGAAAGTCTCCTTACAATAATTTTTTAACACATTTTCTCTATATATTACACTTGGCAAACTTTTTCTGTAAATATCCAGATAGTAAGTATTTTGGCTTTATGGCCTGTCGGTCTCTATCACGGCTAAAAAATATACTGTGAGCACTCTAGTTGACAGTGCCAGCTGAGCCTGGCCTTCTAGCTATTCCCACCAAGATATGTCAGTGAAGCCATCTTGGATGTCCATGAATAGAGAATAATATTTGAGTGTATGGAAAAACTTAAATATTAAAAACAAGGGGAATAACTTCTGTGGCTCTATTGAATGACCTTGCTTTGGATAAATTTTTCTCCTGAGAACAACTAGAAATTTGCATAAATTTATTATCCAGAGTTCAACATTCAGTGCCAATTAATCAATTACTTCCATTGGCAAATGTCAATCAATTTAACTGAGAGGCTAAGTAACTAAGAAGCTGAACAGAAACTTTTGTAGACAACACCTACATCCATCCATATAGAAAAATTTGATGATGCATAAAACCAAAATGTAAAATTTCAAAACAAAGTTGTCAGAGTAACCACAAACACTGTAGAAATAAATACTGTGGCTGTGTTCTAATGAAACTTTATTTTATTTACAAAAAGAGGCAAGGGGCCAGATTTGGCATGCGGGCCATAGTTTGCTGACCCCTGCCCAACATAATATAAATAATTATAACAATGATATAAACATAATGAAATCAGGAATAAATAGACTAGAAAGGGCATGGACAATGATTAATACATTCAATAGATTCTATACTTTGAATATTAAACATATAAACATGAGATATTCTAACAAAATATTAGTAATGGTTTTTGTCTTTTTTAAAAACTTTTAAGTTCAGGATACATATGCAGGTTTGTTATATAGCTAAACTTATGTCATGGGGGTTTGTTGTACAGATTATTTCAGAACCCAGGTATTCAAGCCTACTACCCATTAGCTGTTTTCCTGATCCTCTCCCTCTTCCCACCCTCCACCTTCCAACAGGCCTCGGTGTGTGTTGTTCCCGTCTATGTGTTCATGTGTTCTTATTATTTAGCCGCCATTTATAAGTGAGAACATTCAGCATTTGGTTTTCTGTTCCTGTGTTAGTTTGCTAAGCTTATATTAATATAAACCTTCTAACAGACAGTATTGAAATAGTTAAGTAAAAGAGGAATCTTGTAGTGAAGAATTACATTTGAATCACTTTCTTAAATATAGATACATGCCTTTGGAAAGAGAATTAGCTGAGATAATTTGCCAAAGGCAATTGTTGGAGAATTAAACTGATGGATAGGGAGACCATATAATGTATCATTCAAATTGAGAAAGTTGGGGAAGCAAAAGCAATGCTAAATTATTAAAATATACACTTTTCAAAAGATGTATTTGTTGACTAACAAGTTTGCTTCATATTTTTAGACATGTAAAATAGTTATATTCAAAAACTACTTTCAGAAAGTGAATAAAATATCTTCTAAAAGTAAAAACATATACATGTGTTCATTTAAGCACATTTGTTTCCATTAATTACCTGAATGTTTAAAAGCAGTGTAAAAAGAATAATTGTTTGTAC